GGAAGTGCGTGGCTGCCCACAAAGCTCAGCACTGCCCAGCGCAGGCTCTGAATTCGCAAGGGAAAATGTAGTTCTGTCACAAAGGGCATCATGGAGCACAGCAGAGCGAAACCCAGGTCTTCCCAGGTTATCACAAGCCTAACAATTCCTAACTTCAGTCTGAAAATCAGCACTTAGCAGCCTTTGTTACAGGTATATGTAAAAAACGAAGGGGCACTGGTGGAGGCAGAGATCACGATGTCCGTACAAACCCCTGCTCTCCATTCCAGGCAGCCCAGGTTCTCGCTGTGGCACAAGGACACAGCTGTTCCTTTCCCATGGCACAGCAGTGACCGTGTTGTCTTTCAACAGAGAGGTGAGCACAGATGAGCTGAGGACTGCCTTCCGCACCGTCGATCCCGACATTGATGATTGGACGCTGGATACCTACATTGGCCTGGCTTGCCAGGTCCGAGGAGAGCAGCCAGACCAAGGAGCTGTCCTGGTGGAAACTGCACTGGAGAGAATCCTCGCTGGAGATGTGAAACAAGTAGGGCCCTCGCCCACGGAGGGAAGCACAACACACTCCGATGGAGAGCAAGGAGACTTCCAGCATTAAGAATAAACGAAGAATAAATGGAATGTTTGATCTCCAGGTTTGGATACCAAGCTGAAAGTCAGTTAACTGCACTACACGCTTCTTCCCATGCACACAGAGATACACCCAGCAACTAACCGCACAGAGGACAGGCTAGGCTGCCCGGGGAAGTGGTGGAGTCCCCATCCCTGCAGGGGTTCAGAAAACGTGTGGATGTGGCACTTCGGGACATGGTTTAGCAGGCATGGTGGGGTTGGGGTGACAGTTGGACTTGATCTTAGAGGTCTTTTCCGACCTTAGTGATTCCATGAACAGTCAGCAGCACCTCCAGCTTGCACAGCGAAGAACCCCGCCACAGCTTTGCAGCTTTCAGAGCCATTTCAGCCCAGCGACTTGCTGGGGAGGCTGCCTGTGCCCCGGGCAGCGGCTTCGCACGGTGTTGGCCTCCTCGCCCAGTGATGGAGCAGCGATGCTCCGGTGCTGTGACAGCCGCTGTCGGACCCTGAGGGTCCAACCGTCAAACCGGGCTGTGACGCGGCTGGCCTCATGGTTCCTTGGCTCGGAGAGGGCGGGTTGCGAAGTCGCGTTTGGAAAACAAGGTGCCATCAGCACGGTCTGGGTGGGAGTGAAAGGCGAGCTCAGCCCGTGCTGGGTTTGCTCTCGTGTCTGTCCCCAGTGAGGTTTTTGTCGTGGTGTAGCTGTTGGTGGCCGGCACGAGGTCACTTCAAAAGAAATCCAAGCTCTGCCCCACAACTGGGCTTGACCAGACTGAGCCGGAAGAGTAATCCAAGCACAGAAACACTGAAATCTGTCCCCGGCTTCGAGGGAGATGCCGCAGGCAGTCTGGTTACTGCCTTTCCTACCACGGGCATCAGTTCTTCTTTGCTGTTCAGCGGTGTCCTCCCTACCCAGCACGCGGCCCTCTCTGGGAAGGGGGAGAAGGGTCTTGAAACAAAACCCCCATGGGAAAGCAGCTCTGCTATCGCTGTGCCCAGACTGCCGAGTCAGTGGAGCAAACCCGAGAGGCAAAACCTGTTCCTTTCCTCATAACGCAGTTTGAAAAGCGGAAAGGCGTAAGCTGAAATCAGAAGACGCCCTCCTAACAAAGGCAGGCATCTTGCAAAAATCAGTTGCGTTGGTAAAGCAGAGCGGCATCGCGGCCCGTGGGACGCAGCAAGCCCCGCCAGGAGGTACAAGGCCGTGGGGATTTCTGCCTCGAATACCCATTTGGTGCTGAGCACCTTCAGCGCAAATTGCGAAATGTCAGGAAAGGAGCAATAAAAGGATTGAAAGGGTGATGCGGCGTCGCGCTAGGAACCAGATGCCCCAACTGCAGGTATCTCCAGGGGGTTCTGAAAGGAGGAGTCGCAATATGGCAACATTCAACATATCTAAAGAGAACTGGGAACTTCAACACAGACGCAGCGCCTGGCACGTGAACATCACATCGGCAAAGCTTTTCGAGAAAGCCCCTGACTGGGAGCGCTGGGCTACAGAAAGCAGGAATCGCTCCTCCTGCTTCACCCCGAGGACTTTGGGTCCCCCCAAAATTAACTGCTGTTTGCAGTGCCAGGTACTTTGCCCTCCCACTTACACTGCTAGGACTCGAACAACACGTCCCTAAAAAACCTTGAGTTCAGTTAACCCTGACTTTACTGCAGCCAGATGAACTCATCGCGACAGAAGGGGAATCTTACGCTTCCCTCTCGCCACGTTCCCAGCCGTCACAGCCCCATCCCCTCCCGGGCAGGGACGTGTGTCCCAGCAGCGTGGCAGCGGGAGGAGGCAGCACACTGGAGAGAAGAGGAACCCGCAGCTCCCTCCCGGGAGGTTCCCTCCGCTCTCTCCCGAGGAAAAGAAGGTTCTCGGGGTGCTTCAGCAGCACGGAGGAAAGAAGTTGGAGACTTCATTACCACTTCAGATCAAAATTTTCAAACTCTGGTGTGCAAAGCCCCGGGACACACTTGAAAAGTCGCATAAGGGCAGAAAATGTATTTTTAAAAGTACAAGTTTTGCAATGTATTTGTTAAAACAAAGCTGTTTCCTCTTGAAAATTGCAAAAAATCCCTCGTCATATTAATGGAATTAGGTTTTTAAAAAAAGAAAACTTGAAAAATGACTGACCTTCATATTGGTGCTGCCAGACAAAGATTTTCCCCGTATCGCTCATCCATTCCTTCTGCGCGGTGCGAAACCCGTTTAACTTGCAAGCGTTGCCGCCAGAAGCTGGGCTGCGTTTCCAGGCGTCCATGTTTGGCTGCGGTTGGAGGGAACGACCCTGCGCACACAGCTTCACCCAGGGGCGAGGATCCAGGACAGGCTCAAGAAGAGGAGGAACAATCGGAGAGCAGCAGGCACCCTGCACCGAGCAGGCTCAGTCCCGCTCTGTCCTGCTTGGGACTGCAGAGCAGCAGCCTGGGGCCGTCCCTTCTTCACAAGCATCTGGAAATTAATTAATCCACTTAAACATTCAAGTCTAAGTCAAATTAACCAATTTAAAGGCTCAAGGTTTTCAAGTTCAAGACAGAGATGCTAAGAATTAGGTGGAAAAAGTAAAATCTGTTTATTTTTCTCAAAAACAAGCACCATGTCTTACTTTGGGAATCACAGCCCAGCTAAAGAAAATGAGAGCGTGCTGTGTGCCAGCCTGACTCCCCGGGAAGACACCGCTGAAAAACATCCGAGAGAGATTTTTGGCGTCCACATCCACCCTTCTGAAAGGCGCACGTGTGACGGGCGTCGTTCTTTCCCAGCTTCTGGATTGTTTTACAGAGCCACGGTCTTTGTGCCTGAAACCCTCCGCTGTGGCCGACCCCGTTCCTGGTTTAGGCTCGCTGCAAGCAGTACGATCACACGCACGGATTTTGCTTTTATTGTCTCCCAGCTTGAGGAACAGACAGGAGCACAGCGCGGGCCAGCTCCTCCACGCAGCGACCCACCATGGCTCGCAGCTGGAGTAGAGCAGCAGAAACCACACGGGGCTGTCGGACCCGCGGAGGGTTCGTCTGCATTTGGTACTTACAGAGTCGCTGCTCAGATCTACGGAGTCGCTGCTGGGACCTTGCAGCTTTGGATCGCGATGCGGGATGCCAGCACGCGCCGCTACGTCATCTACGAGTGGGCTGAGCTCCACAGAGTGCGCTGCAGCGCACGGAGTGGGACACTGCTTCACAGAGTGGCTTTGGGCACTGCCTGCCTCTGCAGGGCTGGAGCCACGGCTTTCCAGGCATGTTCCTGTATGTAGACAGATGAAGGCAGCACCAGGGCTGGCCAAAAATGGCTGTGGAAGCACAACCTTCCATTGTGGAGTGCTCTGACCACAGCTGGCTGCCAGTCGCCCACCCAGCCGCTCGCTCGCCCTCCTCAGCGGGACAGCGGAGGAAGTCAGACAAAAAAGCTCGTGCGTCAAGATAAAGACAGGGAGGTTGCTCACTAATTACTGGCACAGTCAAAACAGACTTGACCTGGGGAAGTTTTAATTTATTGCCAATTAAAAATAGATTGGGACAGTGAGAAACAAAGACAAAACAAAAAAGACCTTTCCCCCTTGCTTTCTCCTTCAAAGGCTCAGTTTCCTCCTCCCCACCAAGCAGCACGCAGAGGAAGCGGGGTTCCACTCAAACCCTATCGCTCCGTCTCCCCTCCTCTGCAGGGTTGTTCCTCTGGCCTCCTTCCTCCTCCCTCCCACAGCTGCTGCGCAGCGTTCCCTTCCTTAAACACATCACCGGGGGCCCCACCAGCGTTGCTGAGGGGCTCAGCTTCAGCCAGGGCGAGTCCGCTCCGACACGGGGGCAGGCGCTGGCTTCCGCAGCTCCCCCTGTCCCACCACCACGACCTGCCCAGGTAAACACGCGCACACAGTCACCTCCACGCGAATCGGCCCCTCTCAGTGCTCCATCTGCCATGCGGGCAGAAAATTTTCTCTCTCAATTGGTCTTAAATTACTGCTTACTAATTTCCCATGAGATATATATATAAAAAGCAAATGTGAAGTGTATTTTCCCACTTACACCAGTAAACAGCTGTGGGCACAGATGGATTATGATCTACTCTACAGACAAGGCCAGACCTGCAAAAGGGGACAAGACTCCAAGTCTGAAAGCCCCTGCTCCAGAACAATACACAGCTGCCACAAGGATCTGCCTCCTTCCATCTCTAACTTCTCTCCTGCGAGCAAACAGCTAGTTAGCATGAAGGGCATCAGCACAGCTAAACGCCTATCAGGAACGCTCTGAACAACGCAGTGCAGCAGCCTTTCAGCTTGCTGGAATAAGTGGCATTTGTACCGTGCAGAATACATACCATATTTTATTTATCAGAGCTGTACAAGTACTCAAAGGTAACATAAAAAATTTCAGCACAATCAAATCCCTTGTAACAACAGCCGGTGAGATGCAGCAGGCTGGTGTGACCAGTGCTGCACAACCCGTGCCAGTCCAAGGAAGCGCCGACTGTTTGTTGCCCCGCCGGCTGCTGGTGGAAAACCACTGCGCAGAGCAGGTACGCGGAGCGAGCCACAGCCAGCCCCTGTGAGCAGGCCACCCTCCTGCCCGCAAAGCCACCGCTGCCGGAGGGCACACTCATTTGCAGGGGATCACTTTGTTCCCACTCACAGCAACGGGGATCAGGAGCTTCCTGTACTCCAGAGGGAGGTAACGCTCGATCAGCACATGCAGCGGCATCTTGTCTGTCACCAGCCCCTGCCTGTGTTCAGAAAGAGGAGAGCAGAAAAAAAACAGAGCTGTTGGTGAAAAGAGGCTCCACTCAAACTTACACAGAATCACAGAATGTTCGGGGTTGGAAGGGACCTCTGTGGGTCACCCAGTCCAACCCCCT